CAGCTCAAATTATCAGCAACTTATTCAGTGCTGGCACTGCTCACCGATTAACGGTCAACAATTGGTTGGATCGCTTCGCTGGACCTATATGCCTCTTTGTCTTCTTTTCATCTCCGATAAAGTCGCACTGCAATGCGACAGAGCATTTTCAGAGCTGACCTGCAAGATGTAGTCCAATTGGTGAACATACCCAACCGTAACGTCAAGCAGCAGTTGGTTCGAAATCGGCTCTACGATAAACAATGTCTGACAAACGACTGTACCATATGTCCCTGCGGGAAAACAGGTGATTGCGCACTTATGGGCGTGATCTACTAGCTAGAATGTCGGGAATGTATACCAACCTATATCGGCGAGACAGGACGACAACTGTCAGCACAACTGAGCTATTCGGATAAAAGAACATCTAGGAAGTATGAAGAACCTATTGACAGCGCTCGGTCGACATAAAGTTGAGGATTACAACGGCGACAATTTTGAAGTGAAGTGCACGGTATTAGCGCAGGAGAAGGAAATTTCAGCGAGAAAGCCATTAGAGGTGTTATGGATTCTGCCAAGGAATCCAAGATGAGCAAGAGAGGTGAGAGTCCATCCTTAATCAATGACCTCTTGCCATACTTACCGCTCTGCGAGCTATGACTCGTGATCATATCGTCGTAGTGCGATCACCCTCATCAGTATGAGGGAGACACCAATAAGTCTCATTTGCTACTGACAGTCGCCTGTGTCGAGAGCGGGTTCTTTCCCCTTTGACGGTGGAGCCTGGTGAGTATTTCATGAAGTGGGTAGTTTTCCGATGAGTTTCGGTCGTTTTTTGCTTGAGAGTCAGACGCTATCGGATAGTGAAGCATCTCGAATTGCGTTTATTCCTCTGAAGACGACGATTACGTCGAAAGGTTAGGCCCTTAATAAAAACCTCGGACGGCAGAAGAGTTCTAACTACGTAAATGAAAATGCCGAGGTTAAAACAAGCGAGAATTTCGAGATTGTTGTCCATGTTACTGAGGTGGAACTCGTTGCTGGTCTACGAGTCACGATTCGAATAGGGCACAATTTCCACATTGGATCTTTTCCTGAAGTGCCCTGGAACGTGGATTTTGGTGAAATTCATGGGTGGCTGTGTCGATACGGGAATTGGTGGCAATTTCCGTCACAAACTTCTTTGTAGTTTTATTACTATTGTTTTTTAGTAGTATCTGTGCCAAAACGAGTTCTTCTTTTTTGCGTTTCATCATTGAAAATAACGGAGAATCGTACACCGGCGATCAGGTCGCCGAATAGCTGAGACAATTGAGTTCAGTTTTCATTATTTCATTTTTAGCTTTGCTGGGCTCATTTTCAGACCTTGGCGGAATCCCAGTGAATCAAGGTCTGTCTTGAATATATTGTTGTACCATTGCTCTTATTTTCTCCGTCGTTATGTCTCTTCAGGTACTATAGAAGCCAGACTACCGCAACTTGGATTTCATGCGGTCCATGGACAGAATATAGTCTTGCAAAAAGGTTATTTACTTTGCTATTGATTCATCAATTGCTTTCTATATTATGGAAAATCAGGTGGTAGAGTGGCGAGAAGGAAAGAGAGTTTCTGTAAAGGACTTGCGTTTTCTAACAGGTGTGATTTCTTACTCGCTGGTCTGGCTTATATGGGGTTTTTCTTTCTTTCGTTATAGGCCAGTTACTGTAAACGAAAACGTATGCATTCGTCTGACTGAGGTTTCGACAAGTTGGTCAGGTGTGCTGAGATTCGGAGTTACTAATGTGGATCCTGAGACCTACAGAACCATTCAGGTTCCTAAGTGAGTTCCATCCTTTTTGAAGCTTGATTGTTTAGAAATAAATGAGAGTGGGATCACTGGTTTTCGATAGAGCTTACTCATGAATAATCCATGTTCGCGCTGAGTTTGAGAGCGGATCGTTTGACGCAACCCCAGGTGCGTCAACTTGATTGTATACGCAGTACTGATACAAAATCAGGCCTACACTATGTATTTCCTAGGTAAAAGTTTCCCTAATCCTGCTATGAGGTGTTCACTTATTCGGGAATAGTGGTAATTTTCTTGAGTTTTCGCAAGTTATGTTTGTTAGCTCTATTGTTTTGGGTGAAAAACAAACTTAATCCATTTTAGCAGTCTTTATTGCAAAATGATAGTATCGAAAAAACCCTCTTTCTATTCTATAGTAAAATTTTGAGCAGTTTGGGTCGACATTTCTGTTTGAATATGTCACTTTTTCCTCTCGGTCTGTGAAGCGCGCGCGCTTTATTTTGCACCTTTTTTTCGCCCATCCCATTTTTTTTTTATTTCCGCTGTTTGTATCATCTTAGAATCCTGTGATTGTTGCTCTCCGAGCAGTTGTCATCTAAATTCTGATATCCTCATAGTTTTTTTTAATCCAATCTATTATCGTTAGGGTTCGGGTGAAGAAGAAGTCTGTATGATATAAATGAAATACAGCCGAAAGAGGCTCATAGACTACATAAACGTGTCAATATTGAGCCACTCATTTATTTTCCTAGCTGGAATTAGTAGAAAAAGGGAAGAATTAAGCATGGAATGAGATTCGAATCGTAAGGTTGTTAGTGGTCAGTCAGTACGGAAACTTTGGAGCCAAGACCTGCTCTTTATTACAATACCTATAAATACCCTTATACAGGTTGTCCCAAAATTATGGGCGCCAAAATTCAAAAACTTTTGGGGTAGAAATAATCTATCAAATTCACATTACCTGCTATTAATTAATTGCATAAGAAGGTTGCAATATGCATGGTTACTGATGTAGAACTCCCAATATCTTTTAGGCGGAAGAGGCTCATTCAATGCCACTTGCAATTATTGACACGGGCATTATGAGATTCCTCGAGATTTCAATAATAACCGTATAGGAGGCTATTAAACGATATAGAAAAGGAGACTTAATCAGAGGCAAACCCAGGAAAGGTAGAAAGGCCAATGTTTCTGAAGATAGAATTATTAAAATGGTCCGTTTGCCAGTCGGTCGGGATTCTGGGTGACCCATCGAAAGGAAGTCAACGGGCACGGTTTATCGGAGTTATCGCGTTGGAAGAATGTCATGCAGAGGTTCCATTGCCATTCCTATCGT